TTCCTCTTCTTCTTCTTCTTCTTCTTCTTCTTCTTCTTCTTCTTCTTCTTCTTCTTCTTCTTCTTCTTCTTCCCCCAACCGACCCGTCCCCGAGCTCCCTAAGAGAACAACGTAAGTATACAGTATATGTTTGTCCTCACTTACTTCCTACCAGTGAGTCACAATGAGTTACACAATAGGTTGAGTGGACTCGCAAGACAAATAAATTATTCCATGGTGACTTCTTCTTGAACTACAAAGGAGATTTTAACCTACGTCTCTTCTCCCAGGTCCACAACAGAATGGCCCTTCGTCCGTTTCTACAGTCAGTATAATATGTATCACAACGCGGCAGAAGCAGGCGCTCGTCCACTTTTGGACATAATTATGGAGTTATTTGTACCATCATGAAGCTTGTACAATTGTCGTGTTTTCGTCGAAAGAAATACGTATCTATTTTTAATAGAAATCGAGATATTTGCGATTGGAGGAAGAGTTGGGGTCGCCTGATTTGAGAGGTATCATTAGTGAGACAATGGCCGCCGAAGTCTGGTTATTTCCATAGCTTGAGAGTCCATTGAAACGGAAAATTACGTTTGTATGCCTTTAATCAACGATTTTCTGTGAAATCCGGGCAGAAAAGTGTTCTTAAAGGAGCATAAAAGGTGTTGAGCCAAAATTAAAAAAAAATCAATTTAAAAAATGCCATACTGGAAAAATGCCTGTTTCTTCAATTTTCTTGTTTTGACGAGACCCCTGATTTCACCATCATGTCTCACATAATATGTCCTTGTAAACACGACAGTCCTGTGAAGAGAATCCCTTAACGAAGTGACTATTTCTCCGAACGTTCGGAGAAATAGTGCTGATCTTTATTTTTCCGAACGGTTTCCAGCTTCCGGTCTCGTGATTTTTTGCCTTTGCGAGAGTTCGGCGCCAACTTTCATTCTGCCATTCCGCGTGCCGCATGGTCTGGGAAGGAGCACATTTTTGGGTCTAGATCTACATGCAATTTTCAAGAGCTAGTCTAGAGATTTTTAGATGAGTGTAAAAACGTGAAAAAGAAAGGTTTCACTACAGAATGAAATCAAAATTAGAACAGCCCATAAACAACCACAAAAATAAACGGATAGGGGCGTGTGTCCACCTTGTCCGAAGAAGATTGGCTGTTTTAACCCCAAATGTGCGTAATTTTAAAAAAAAGTACAGGATATTACATGTAAATTATGGAATCACACAC